CTTAGGTATTTCAGGATCCATTTCACTACTTCTCAATGTTTTTTCTGGGTTACTCATGTATCTGCTTACACATGGGCAATATCTTGCAATATCTTGTCTCTGTTGAAAACTTTTTGCAACAAATCTCTTCTTGTACCTATTACTGTCATCATGATCAGTTTTCATCTGGTACACCCACTTGTTGTGCAATGTCTTCTTCCCTGATGGAAGTTTTATCAGCTCTCATGTCTGATTTTCTAGCAGAAAATCTATCTCCTTCTTCATGACCAGCTCTCACTTGCTTGAATTTTGATATTGCTAGGTTTTTTCATAACATTGTGGTTCCCCACTATATGTCAACAAAATGTAATTCAAGGTTGGTGAGTAACGCTGAGGAGAACGTCTATTTCTTTTTGACCTGCGAATTGTAGTTGTGGGGTGGACGACTCTAAAATTGACTGTGGAACAATAGGAATGGGTGCCCCGAATACACTCTCCTAATCACTTCCATCATTGTCCTACACTGTGACCTCTGGTAGATCATCAAACCTTATCATATCGGATTCATGATGAGCCATTTCAGAAATTGTACTAGACTTGTCCTTATACATTATCTTCTCATTGAAAATCACATTCCCGCTTATGATCTTTCGATCTTGATCATCCTAAAAATACTAACCAAATTCCTCGTCTCCACAGCCAATGAAACAACATTTGTTTGACTTAGCCTCGAGTTTGCTACGAGCATCGGGATTAATAAGAACAAAAGAAAGAGTCAAAAGTCTTAAGGTGAGAAAATTTGACATTTTTTCCACTTCAGACCTCCTCAAACAATTTACAGTCTAATGGAAAAGATGACCCCCTGTTGATCAAGTAAATTACAGTGCTAACCGCTTCTGCCCAAAAAGTATGTGATAGTTTGGCATGCAATCTCATGCTTCTAGCCCGCTCATTAATAGTCATGTTCATGAGCTCCGCAACATTTTGTTGTGGTGTCTCAAGAATGACTTTCACTGTTTTGATATCTTGAGCTGCATAATACTCTTTGAACCCACCATCAATGTACTCACTACCATTATCAAACCTGAAACATTTTAGTTTTAAGTCTGTCTGTCTCAGTCATGACCTTCCAAGTCTTGAACACATTAAATATATCTAATTTATGCTTCAGGAAGTAAACTCATACATTTCTGTTGTGGTCATCAATGAATGTGACATAGTAACAAGAGCCTCCAAGAAATGCCACTAGGAAAGATGCCCACTCAACTGTGTACAAGTTCTAGTTTTTTTTGTCTTTGGCGCTCTGCCACTTTTCAAGAAATTTTCTTTTGTTTCCCCAAGAAGCAACTCTCACACATGTTAAGATCAACACACTTCAGTTCTGATAGCTTACCACTGAATTAAAGTTCTTTTAAACATTTATGACACGTGATCAAGACTATAATGCCACAAATCTATTGTGCTATCTGCAACGGTAATATCAACATTATTAATTGAACTAATAATCATATATAGTGTACCAATTTTCTTACCCCGAGCTAGTACCAGTACCCCTTTTGTAACCTTCCAGGAATCATCTGAGAACATTACTGAATGATCACCCTCATCGAGCTGCCCAACAGAAATGAGGTTTTTATTCAACTCAACAATGTGTCTGATTTTTACGTTAACGTCTCACATACACACTACATTCAAATGTTCTCTACCTATCAGATATACCTTCCCAAAGTCACCTGCAACATAATTCTGCATCAACTCCTGGTTGGAAGATGTATGGAAAGAATCCCCTTAATCCCGTATCCATTCATCAATAGAACTTTGAACTGTCGGAAATAATGCATCCTGCACTTCTTCAGTTACAACATTAGCACTGACGTTCCCTGCCTTCTTGGATTTTTGTAGTTCTTTTTGTCTAGATTTGTCATAATTACAGCAGGTTGCTTGCTGACTAGACTTTGACTTGCTCTTACCTCCGTGCTTTGATTTTAATCTTCCTATGTTTGAATTCTTGTCTTGTGATCTATTGTCATGTGATCTCTCTCTGGAATCAACATTCAATGCTGAACTCAAACATGAAGTCTCATCAGAATCTTGTTTGCGCACCTCAGCGAAAATCAAATCACAAAGATCATCATATTTCATCTTAAATTTACTTGCAAAATTGCTAACAAGCATCCTCATGACTTCTCAGCTATCTTGCAATGAAGCCAACAATATCAGTGCACGTATCTCATCATCAAATTCAATTTCCACATACGACAATTGATTTGTGATAGTATTAAAATCATTCAAATGTTGTTCAACAGTTGTACCATCCGCCATCTTGAAAGTAAATAACTTTTTCATAAGATACATCTTGTTATTCGTTGATAATTTTTCATACATACTTGACAAAGCTGTTATAAAATCTGCAATCGCCCTCTCCTTGATGACGTTATGTGCAACGGATCTCGAAAGAGTTAATCGAATAACCCCTATAACTTGTCGATCCAACAAATTTCATTCAGGCTCATCCATATTTTTTTTCGCTTTCCGAGTAATGAAAGATGAAATTTTTGCCCATAGAAATAGTCTTTTATCTGCATCCTCCAGTAACCAAAATTTATGTCATCAAATTTCTAGATCTCTGATACCATCATTTCGTCTCCAAACATTACTTTCTCTCAAACCTGAACCTTGGTTTTGATACTAATTTTTGTAAAAAAACGATGGCAATAAAATGAAAAATTGGAACGACTCTCAGAACTGAACCTTGATTTTGATACTAATTTTTGTAAAAAACGATGGCAATAAAATGAAAAATTGGAACGACAAAATTCACAAACATAAAAGAACTCACAGATTTACGTGGTTCGGCAAATTGCCTACGTCCATGGAGTTGCAAAGAATTTTATTACTTTGAGGAATTACACCGTCGATCTCCTCGACGTTTACAAGAGTAAATCTCTCTCTTGTTTCTATTCCTCCTTATCTCTCTATTTCTCTCCCCAAGAGCTACTACAGCCGAACAGTACACGTGAAGAAAGGGTAAAGCTTCATATGTTCCTCTTTTCCGCAAGCGGTAAACCACAGAAGAGGATTTGGAGGAGCATATCTCCACGATGCACTAGATGCTGTTATTTTATAAGAGGCCTTTCCTTGGCCCATTAAGGCAAGGGGTGTGATTCGCGAATTTGAGAAGAAGCGGGAGAGCGGCGAAGCCAACCAAGGAAGTCGCGAAAATAAGGGAAGGCGGGATCCCGAACGCGGAGCGCGAGCAAGGCTGGAGAAGGAAGAGAATAGGAAGAAAATAAATTATTTAAAAGCCTTTAAATAATTTCCACAAGTTGTCGAGCCCAATCAGGTGCGAAGTAGATCGGCCTCCAATATACTCAACAGATTATTCCCAAAAAAGAGACATTTTATATTCTACCATAAGAAGATGGGCACATCACATATTACAAATTTATACTTCAGAGAGACTCCGTTTTCAAGTCATTATTTAAAGACTTCAAAGGAGAAGTTGGGCACAAATCTTCATTTCAATTCAACAGCACACCCTCCCAAACTGATAGCAATCAAAAGTGGTGAATCGCAATATAGGTAACCTATTCAAATACTTTATGGTCAAGAATATCAAAAAATGAGACCTGATCCAACCCCAGGTCAAGTATGCTTAAAAATGTTCAACCAGCCATTCTACTGGACATAGTCTTTTCAAGATAGCATATGGAAGAAAACCCTTACCCCATTGGACTGGTGCATATAATCCCAACCATTAAGCTATGTTAATGCAGAGATCAGGGTGAAGGATATTCAAGCATTTCATGAGCATGTAAACGAATAATTGTCAAACATAATACCAAGCATCAGAAGCAAGCTAACGAGTTTAAGAAAGCTATGATCTTCAAGGAAGGTGATCTAGTATGGTTCATGTTGAATGAGAGATTACTTTCAGGTTCATTTGAAAAGCTCAGATAAAAGCTGACGTTCTATTCAAGTTTGTCAAGAAGATGAATGATGACGTTTACAAGATTAATCTTCCATACAACTACAACATTTCTATGACATTTAATTTTGCCAACCTAACACCATACTACGAGGAGTCTCATGCTTCAGTGAAGACACGTTTACAAGATTAATCTGCCATACAACTACAACATTTCTATGACATTTAATGTTGCCAACCTAGCACCATACTACGAGGAGTCTCATGCTTCAGTGAAGAAGGGTGAAGCCCTCCTATCCGAGGAGAATCATGCGTGCGTCTAGGATGGGTGCAAGAACAAAACTGGGTAGTGGTGTTGTTCTTTCTAGCTGGCCGGTTCAATATACTCGCCTCCAAGGGTTGGCATCTCAGTCTCCAAGGGTTGGTCGGACCCACTTGGACTCTTAATTGTTTTATTTAGAATTAGTAATTAGGGTGTTATTTTGTTTGGGAATAATAAATATGTTGCTTAGAACCTGAATTTGGACATGTTGGCTTGTTTTATACTTCTGGAGACTCTCTTGGTTTTTCTTTCCATTTGGTAGTTTATACCTTCTTCTCTTTCAGATGGTATGACTATATTTTGATCGAGAACAACCAGTGGATCTTCCTTGACTTCTGAATACCTTCAAAACTTTCTGATATTTTTCCCCTTGGCTGTTTTCACCCACAACAGCTGTTGTACCTTTCCGAACCCTTTCTAAACAACTTCATTTAAGATATTTTTTTATCTAGTTTCAAGCTAAAACCATCCTAGTCCGTTACTTAGTTCTTACAAACTATCTAGGAATCCTATATAAATACCATTAGGGCCCCTCCTTACAAATCAGAAACAATGCTATTTCAGTAATAACAAACAATCCTACACTCTTAAATGCCAAAACCAGTAAAAGAAGAATTACAAGGCTAGAATTTAAATGCAGAATATCTAAAATAGTGTTATCCAACTCAACAAGTATAATGAACATAAAATGAGATATCATAGCATCAAGTACTGAGACAGATACCAAGCCTTATTAAGGCACTCTAAAGATACCATCTAAAAAGAGTAGGCATTCAGTGAACCTCCTAATTTGTAGTCTTTGAAAGCATTTCATCTATTTGTCCATTCACATTATACTCTTCCACAATTTTCTTTGCATATGACGGCATGTGTCGTTCAGCTCTGCCAACAAAACAAAGTTGAGAAATTGTCTATTAAAATATCAGACCCAAAATAATGCAGATTAGCTACACCACCTTTGCTTTCCCCACTGACGGTTTATATATAGGTAGTTTCTTATTGTATGGTAATCCAAAGAATATCGACCAAATTCAAGGCCTTTAGGTCCAATCTGCAATAGTATAAAAATTTAGGATTACAGTTCATCAGATATTGAAGAAAAATTATGTAGAAACAAATATTCAGACCAGCATACTTACTAAATTTAATATGAATGCAATCAAATTACCAACGAATCGAGGAACTTGCTGAGAAGGACCTTTTCCTGAAAGGATTAAGATAGACCGTCTTAAAAACCATTGTTAAAGATCTCGGTCCACAAATTGAGATATTAGGAATTTAAATAAAGAAAGTCCATCGAGCCAAAAAAATCAGGTCTTGAACCATTAGAATTTTTATTTATTGACTTGCCCGTGAATTTTTTTAGCATGAGAAAAGCTGGTATCGATTGAGAACAGAAATGGAAACAACATCTGATGTTTTTTTCTAAATATATAGTAGGCTGATAAATCCAACAAGAAACAGTTCTACATAAAAAAAAAGGAGTAAATGCCCAAAATAGTCCCCTAACTATTAAGAATTGTCCAATTTAGTCCCAGAATTTTATAATACTCAAATTTAGTCACAGCCTATTAAAAGTTGCTCCAAGACGGTCCTAAATCATATTTTCCATTAAATTTAATGACGGTATGCATTAATTGAAGGTTTCTTTTTGTTTCTTATGTAATTATTCAAAATTAATGTGATTTGTATATAAATCTCTTTCTTATTTATTTTTGAAAAATTATAATTTTTAATTTGCTTTAGTTATGGAAGCTCTTACTGGACATTTATAGGAGGATGTACCTTAGTGTATGTTTTTTGCTTCGTGGATAAGATGAGAGAGAAATCTTAGGAAAAACATGAATTATGGAGGCCTACATTGGAGTCTAAAGGCCATTATTTGAGTAGAACTAGAACTATTGCATAGACTGTAATTTTAGTAGCAGTAGCTCTAGTGACAGAATTGTAACTATTGGTGATCACATTATTAAAAGGTATGAACGCTTTAGATATTTGAGGTTTATTGTTCAAAGTGATGGTGATATAGATGGGGATGTTATTAGTAGGATTCAAGTTGGTTGGTTGAATTGGAGGAATGCTTCGGGCCTATTTTGTTATGGATAAGTACTGCTTAAGCTGAAGGGAAAATTTTAGAAGATGGTGGTGAGACCTGCAATGCTCTATGACGCTCAATGTTGGCCTTTAAAAGAGAAGCATAAAATTAAGTGTTGCCGAGATGAGAATGATTAGGTGCCTAAGTGGCTTTCCACTTAGAGACAAAATGCAAAATAAATATATTTGTGATAGGGTTGGTGTAGCTCCAATGACGAACAAAATTAGAGAGTCATCTTAGATGGTTTGGTCACATTAAACGTCAACAATCTGATGATCTGATTAGGAGAGTAGATGTTTTAGATTCGACTTATGTTAAGAAAGGCAGAGGTAGATCTAGAAAGACTTGGGCATATTGTATAAATAAAGATTTTAATTAACATAATTAGATGAATATATGACACTCAATAAAAAACAATGGAGAAAAATGATCATGTAGCCGACCCCACATAGTGGGATGAAGGTTTGTTGTTGTTGTTGTAATTTGCATTAATAAATCTCTTCACAACAGTCAATTTTTTTCAACTGAAGGGTTTTAAAATAATCAATAATTATGCAATAAGAGCTCACTCAATCTGAAACTATATGAATTGCTCGATTTCAATTGAATTTTTTTATTACAAAATGTGTTTTAAAATAGATGAAATTGAATAGAAAAACTAATGAATGAATTTATTTTATGTTTAAAACATTGTATGTAAATAATAAAGTTATGTGACTGATGACAAACTACTAATATTTATACAGAAATATTTTTCAGAATACATATATATATATATATATATAAGGCTGTGTATTCAAACAATAATCTAACAAAAAATTTCATTTGAAAAAAAGTTATGACAATTTTGAAGAGATTTATTATACAAATTAAAAATTATAATTTTTCAATGACAAATAAAAAAGAGATTTATGTACAATCACCTAAATTTTCAAATATTACATAAGATAAAAATATCCTTGAATTCATGCAGACCACCATTAAATTCAACGGAAAGTATAATTTATGACCAATTTGGAGCAACTAATAATAGTCTGAAAGTAAACTGAAGCATTCTAAAACTCTGGGACTAAATTTGACACTTAATAATAGTTGGGAGACTATTTTGGCTTTTACTTCATAAAAAAGCAATGCCATACCTAACTTGGCTTTATCATCTGCTTTAACCGTCTCCATAACAAATGGCTTTCTGCTTCCCTGAAATGCAATTTTACATGGTGGTTGTTTCGTCGCCAGACAGGACTTTACAATTGAAATTATTTATCACGTGAATATTCATGAAAATAGTTCCCTTACACTGCTGGTTGTTTCGGTTATCTCCAAAAGATTCTCAACTAGCGTAAGCATCTCCCGTCCTCGTTCATTTCTGAATATTCCATAATGTCAAATATGAGAAATAACAGAAGAGGAAAAATCAAAAGCTTGACCCGTCAACAATTATGACATGAAGTTCGTTGAGAAGAATGAATAGAAATTTACACAAATGGTATTCATCACCTGACAGTAATGTATTGTGGGTGTTCAGTCATGCGTAGTCCAGAATATTTTGGCACTGCCATGTATCCCACCACAAGGTCCTGAAGTTTGAAGAGCTTAAATGCATCAAAAACCGTAGAAAATTAATAGTTCATGAAAAAAAAACAAATACTAAGAATCATGACAATCATAAATTTCTTAAAAATAAAACAGTATAAAAACATTATTATTTATCAAAAATGATGACTGGTCACCCATCCATAGAGCTTGAAACATGGTATTGGAATCATGAAACTTCCATAAAGATCATATTATTTTATGGGTAAGTAATCAAATCAAAGAAATGCATTAAATATGCTCCTGATTGCTCTGATTAACAAAATCTTTAAAATTGAAGCAAAAGAAAAAAACTCCCAAGGAAGGTATACAAAGATGGACACCGTCAGAGGTAATGACTGCTTGGAAACTTCTGTAAGCAATTCTTCTAATCTTTAAGTAATTATCTCGATCTCAATAATCCGAGATTTAGTCATAGGAAGAGGGTGACTTTAAGCAAGGTACATAAGAATAAAATCCCCATGTCTATACTTCGTGAAATGTGTACAGACACTATATTCAATCATAAACAAGATGCAGAATTTTGTTTCAAAAAAGTATTATGCACATGGTACTCATTGCAGTGTTTTTACTAATAATTAGCTAAAACAATTTCACCTTCTAAAGCCAGCTTTTCCTATTGTAAGACAATATATTTCGAAAAGAGATTTCAAGTTTACCAGAGGATTTCCACTCTCTTGACAGAATATTAATGGAAGCCACATGCACCGTATGTACTTTATTTATATCAATTGAATTTGTGAAAAATTGAAATAGAAGTGCACTCAGAGCAGCATACTTACTGCCAACGCATTTGTATAGTCAAAACAGCTGCAAAAATTACAAACAGAAGGGAGTGTCAGTCTTAGATTTCAGTCCAAGCTAGATATAAGAAACTTTGACCACAAATATAATGCAGTAAATTAGAAAGCATGATACAAGCTATAAGTAACTAATTAAAAAAAGAAGCGAAAGAAGATCTATGTCATTATCCCACAAGCCACAGGAGAAGACACACTATAATCGATAAATATCTATTTGATCTGGCAATATAAGATAGATAATGCGTAGTGGTTTTAGCCATCACATCCCAACTTCGTTTTTCTTAAAATCAAGAATACAATCATAGCAGCAGCATGACAAGCAATATTTCGTAAAATAATAATTCACTAGAATGTAGAATTAGCTAGTGAAACAAACTAATTTTCACCGAAGGGTATATTTGGCAGAAAAGGTGCACTCATAATCTCAAATTTCAGCAATTCTTTAAGATACAACATTAGTCTTTACGTACCTGTAACATGATGGAGCAATTACATCAACAAGTTCATTTGCTGGTAGGCAAAAGTAAGGAACCTGCTCTCTTAAAATTTTTGCATTAGTCAGGTCTTAGGAGTTTGATGTAATAAGGTATAGCTTTAAAATAAAAGTAACAAAATTACACCTCTTCAATATGGCCATCCAAATGCTTCAAGTGAACCTGTCAACGGCACAATATAATAAAACGTTCGTCGAGGTTCCTTTCATAAACTTTCTACTTAAGTTACAGGAACACAAACTTTTTGAACAAAAAAAGAATAATCACGGGTAAAAAAAAGAGCAATAACCAAAAGAAATGAAGAAATAATGTTTCCACGAGGGCATATAAAAGGATGACTAGAAATATCAGCTAAGTTATTTAGAGGCATCAAAGTTACATGAACATCTGAATCCATGGAATGGGAAGAAGACCATGACAAAGCGTTTACAAAATCCAATGACATCACTTGCTGTCCCACAAATAAGGAAAACAAAACTAATAAAGCATGGTATTCCAATTCAACTATTCTATCTTTGTGATCAATTAAATCTTGATTTATACTTTGATTTGGAACCGAACTCTATGTAAAGGAAGATAACAGTTCACATAATTGAACTGCGAATAGAATCACCCTCATAGACAAAGAACAAGATTCCCAATGACAAAAGTAACATTAGAAGTTGTGGAGGGAAGCTATGCACATCCATCTCTCTGCCAACCTTCTCATAACTCAGGTAATCAATCAGATACATTCCATAACATTTCCAAAAAAAGATGAGGTAGACAATTGAGGGGAACAAGAATAGACAGAAGAAAAAGAGGGTAAATGGCCTCTATGCAAAGGAGGATAGGTAAGAAGCTGCTCATAAAGAAAGCAATGAGGCCTAAAGACTAAAAGGGGCAGCTAGAAGACAACCAAAGTAATATCCTATTTATTTAGCCTTCAGAGAAGGTGGAGATAAGCTTCATTTTTTTTCTTGAGAACTTGTGAAGAAATACAGAAGAAGATAACTCCATCTGAGAAGATGGTCCACATTAGTTTTGGATAAATCAAAGAAAATTTCAGGTAGTCAGGGAGATGAGAACCACACATAGGGCAACAAGAAACGAAAGTGCTAAAGATAGAGCATTAACAACTAAGTGAGCACTTGTAGCATGAAACCAGCGCAGCCACATTTTCAAAAAATTAAGGAAGGTGAAATGTAGAAAATGAATGGGAACAAAGAGCAATTAGGCGCTGGGATATGCCCTTTATCCATCTAAAAAGACAAAAAACCACAAACTTCACCAACCTTATAGTCTTGCATGAACTCATAATGTACAACCGTTTCTGGATCACTGCTTGCAGCCTTCAAGAATTTATCTAAACCTCGGCGAGTTCCGTTGTCCACTAAAACAAGTTGAATATAGGTCATTTATTGATTACTATTTGTTTGTGCCATCCAACATGAGATGTGTAGCTTAAAGATAGAGTTTCACCAAAAAGAATTCTAACAGAATTATCAAATAATAATAATAATAATAATAATAATAATAATAATAATAATAATAATAATAATAATAATAATAATAATAATAAATAATAACAATCATTTACCGCAGTTTGTGCCAAGCACATAAAGTTTTTCCAAACCAAGATACTTCTCCACAGATCTTAGTGCTGCAGGTAAGAAATCAATCTGCATATCAATAGCGGCAAGTTAAAACAACGCCAGAATTTGCATCTCAAACAAAAAAAAAGAAACAAGAATGTACCTTGAACTTGGCAACCAACGCCACAAAAAAGAAGGCGCTTCACTCCAGCAGCCTGTTGATAAGGATGGAAAGATTTCGTTAAAAAAACAAAACAAAAAAACAAACATGAGAGTTGCAATGCTACACTCTAAACTTGCAGCGTGATAGGCTATTAAGGAGCACAACAATAATATTATTAGCTCCATGATAGAAGGACCTTTGCAGTGCTCTAATTTAAAATATATAAGGTACAAAAATAATCAAAATTTTCAGTTCCAAACCCCCAGCGAACATATGCATTTATTAGTATATAGTAGACCAAGGCACGAGAGATACAAGAATGTATAGAAAATAAAATAGGTTATCAATTGAAACAAATTTTTCAAGGGCATACCATGTAGGGAGGCCTTTTTATAAGAAACCATCCACTAAAAGAACCACCTTTTATGGATAGTAAATCATGGGGATTTGTTTAAAATGAGTACATTAAATGTTAGCTACTATGACTGAATTCATGGCGGTTCCACTTTCCAGTTTGATCATCCAAATTTCATTGTAGTTTCTTCAGATCCTTACAATATTTATGTAAGCATAAGATATTGTTAAAAAAATGAAAGCTCTGTATTCAAGGGTGGATTTAGGGGGCAAATAAGGAGTTACAAAAATATATTTTAAATATATACTAGTATGTCTCGGATATCTAAAGCATTCAATTCTGTTTCCCGCAATCATTATCACATATCCACAACCTTATACCATGACCGCATATTAAATCCCTCATTCTTAATGACCCGTGTTAACCATCAAATTCTATTGCTCTCTCATACAGATTGTCATTCTTCTCAATTTACTATTAATGACTAGAAGCCCTCCACCACTGGTACTACCATAAATTCAAAATTACCGATTATCACATATAGACGAGATAGTCAGAATAATAGAAATCACAGTGGTGATCATAATGCTTTTTTACATGCCATCATTCAAGTCGCACGAATCAATGCCTTGAACATTGCCATATAATATTTAGTCCCTCCTACTCAGCATGCTAGCAAAAACAATCTGTTGAGAATTTTAGGGCAAAGAAATGCAAGAATCGACACAAATTTAGAAAGAAAACACAAAAATTTAACGAGGTTCGGCAAAGATGTCTACGTCCTCGGAAACAGAGTGGCGGTTTTTCCTTCAATTCAGAAAAAGGGTACAAGATACCCTTAGGATTACAATACATCATATATATATATATAGCCTTGGCGTACAATATGTAATTATAAAATTACCCCTATACCATATTGCGTGGTTGTCGCCCCCGCACGCCCAACCCACATAACGAAACTCCCCCGATTGGACAAATGCTTCCGCTCCACTCCGCTCGCGAGCTCCGCTCTGCTCCAACATCTGTCCCTTTTCTAGTATATGAGTCATATTTAACAAATCTCCAACTTGGTGAATATTCAGCCCCTTAGAAGAAATACATCATGGAGTTTCTTACACACCAAAGTAGGTTGGGCTACCATGCTTGTCTAGCAACTGTGAATATTCAACAAGTCCAAGCAATGCAAGAACTTGTTGATAGTAGCTGGCTTGGTTAACATATCAACTGCATTTTTATCAGTATGAACCTTTTGCAACAAAATATCACCATAAGCAATCAATTCACTGATCTTGTGATACCTGACATCAATGTGCTTAGTTCTCGCATAGTACACCTGGTTCTTGGTCAGATAAATGGCACTCTGACTGTCACAATACAAGTGCACTCTACCTTGCTCAACACTCAGTTCCTTTACTAGCCCAGTAAGCCATAAGGCTTCTTTAGCAGCTTCAGTTACAGCCATGTACTCAGCTTCAGTTGTAGATAATGTCATAATAAATTGAACTGATGATTTCCAACATATCAACCCTCCACCAAGAGTAAACACATACCTAATTGTAGACATTCTATCATCTAAATCATCTGCATAGCCTGAATCCACGTACCCCACAACTGACTGTCAAAAATAATTTCATGTCCCACATTACCCTTCAGATACCTGAAAATCCACTTGACTGTTTCTCAATGTCACCTTTCAGGTTTAGACAAGTATTTGCAGACTTGAATAACAGCATAAGTCACATCAGGGCGAGTACATATCATTGCATATATCAGCAGTCAACTGCACTGGCATAAGAAACATTTAACATGTCTTCGATTTTTGTATCTATCTTAGGACACTATTCTGAAGAAAGCTTGAAATGATTTGTCAATGAAGTGCTTACATGCTTTGTTTTGCTCATCTCAAACTTGCCTAGCACTTTCTCAACATAGTCTTGTTGAGATAAACACAGTCGACTTGAGTCTATATCTCGATGAATCTCCATTCTAAGAATTTTCTTTGTAGCACCCAAGTTTTTTATGTCAAATTCCTAGCTCAAAAAAGCATTCAAAACAAGGACATCATGCATATTATTTGCAACAATTAGTATATTGTCAACAAACAGTAACAGAAAAATAAAAGAACAATCATCAAGGCTCTTAACATAGACACAACAATCATACACATATCTCTTGTAGCCAATTTGAATCATGTAGGAGTCGAACCACTTGTAATATTGTCTTGGAAACTGTTTTAACCCACACAGTGATTTCTTTAATCTACAAATCAAATGCTTCTGTCCAGGTTGATTGAACATTTCTGGCTGCTTCTTTCGGAATCGAATATTGTTGCGCCGATGCCTAAAAGTAGTTTTTTTTTATTAGCCCAAGAGCAATTTAGTCCTTTGTTATTTATTATTATTTAGCATAAAAAGGGTTTAATAGCTTAACGGTCAAGAGGCATGAAATTGTAATCTTGAGTCATAGTGTTGGATTTGGGAGAGAATTTCTGCCACGCGGCCCGGGACTTGGAATTAACCAAGACGAGAATAGACCGGCGAACGGTGAAAATCAATTCCCTCTATTTCTATACTAAACAGTTTAATATTCAAAATTGATGAAAGAGCCACTAAAGAAAATAATTAAATTAACAAGTAGAAATGTGCACCATTCTGATCGTTGTTGTTGCCTCTTATATACATTTGATTCTCTTTTATTCATCTTAATCAAATGTTTAAAACCTAAAAAAAATATTAAAGCAACATAATAAGTTATCTAAAGATAACCCGGGAGAAATCATGCTTATAAACTACAATAACCAAAGGAAAGATATCAATATGCATGCTGCTGTTTTCATATTTCTATAAGAAATATTATAATATGCTAATTTTTCATATTTGTATAATAAATCTTATATATGCTAAAGTGTTTATCAATGACCCTTTTTTAAATGAAAATGTTCGAGTCTTTTCTATGTATTTACTTCAGGTTTACTTTTATTTTATACTCTACATACAAATTCAAGAAAACCTAAAACACCCTTGTCCAATATTGTCATGTCAGTACAGCGATTAGTGATGTAAACATCACAATTGTATAGAGCGGAAAGACCCTTAACATAACTGATATTATCGTGTCGGCACAGCGATTAACAATGTACACATCACAATTGTATGAGGAGGTAAGCTCTGGTCTACTCCTAGCTAATATTATCTCATCGATATAACAGTTAGTGATCTAAATATCACAAATATCTCAGGTAATAGAAAAACTCTAAGCGTGTGAGTAGACTGACGTCCTCAACCTATACCATTAGGGGTAAACTCCTTCGAACATGCACATATAAGCATTCATATATAGTTATTTCATTCTTCATAGAATACAATTTTTCTGAGACATCTTAATGCATCTACTAACATGTATATCTACTTTGTGGTGCACCTATTCACATAAATATCTCTCATAATATTCATTCTTCTTATCTCATACATATCTCTTACTTATACCATATATATCTTTTTCTATCGTGCATATCATGCATATCTTTTTCATATCATTCCTATCTTGCATATCTTTTTTATCAGACACATCATGCATCTATACAAATCTTTCATGCATATTTTGTATATTTTTTCTATCATGCATAACTTTTCTATCTAACAATATAAAGAATTTGTTGTAATGTAAGTCTAATAAACAAAAACATACATAAAATCCACATACATTTTGAAACAAAGAAATTACTAAAATTTAGAAATATAATTACTCACTCCAATTGCCACGTTAAATTTTTAATCTTCAGCAACTAGCTGCACGTCGAGATAACCTTATGTTGATCTTAATATCTTACAAAACAAAATATCAAACTTTAAGATTTAAGCAATTTCCGTTAATCAAATTATTCTTCTTAACATAGCATTAATTTACCTAAATTTACGAAGTCATTCTACTTATAGCTTTTACATGATTGCCTCAAACTCGTCTTTCCAGGTAAACAACGTAAAATCTTAAACGCTCGGCAATTCATGATATCTTGGCTCATAAGGCAATTTTAAAAAAATTTAACTAATTAGCATAAATGTACCTTAATCGGCTTCTTAGCAATTCAACCCTTCTTCGAGCTGCTAAAACTTCTTCCCTTGTCTTTCTACCTTCCCAATCTTTCCTTCTCTTTCGTTAATTTCGTGCTAAAATCTTTAAAGCTCGCAAACCACTTACGACACTTCTAACACAAGTTCGGTGCCTCTACCACCCGAAACAAAAAATACATGAAAATAAAGGCAAAGCTTAAAATAGAAATGTAAGAAAGCGAAGGAATGTCTATAATATTGCTAAAAAGGGTTTCACACTTACCAATTTTTCTCTACAGCCATAAACCGAGGTATGCGGCTTATTAGGTAGCCGCTCAGCCGCCTTTTCTCGTGTCCTGCTACAGTAGCGCGAGTGGAACTCCTTCAGCCAACTGTGTCTAAACAAGGAGGGGAAAATCGAGAAATGGGTAAAAGGCATGACACTTTTCGGCTCCTTTTGTAATCACTGTGAGCCACTCGCCACTTGATACAGTGAAGGATCGTGGAATCCCTCAAAGTCGAGTCGCTTGCGCTTCAAAAGAAGAGGAAAATTGATAGAGAGGAAACAGAACAAGGGCTCTAGATGTAGAATCTCACCCCATTTGACGCGTATATCATTAATATAAATTATGTTATTACATATATATA